ACCCGCTGAAAATTTGGTATCCCTTTAGTAATAAGGGCGGTCTTTTTTAGTAGGTCTAAGCCTACGTAGCCTAGCCGTATATGCTAGAGTTTAGCGGCTTAAATAAGTGCTTCGGAAGGGGTTTTTAACGCCGTAGTAGGCGTAGGGTCCGTAGAATTTTCCGGTGAATTTTCCGGTGCCGCGGTAGGATTAGGATCTTTAGTAGAATCCTCGTTAAGATCCTCGATAGAATCTTTTGTAGGGTAAGCGGGGAGCCCTTTAGCGAGATCGTCGATTTGGTCGGTAGAGTTAGTAGTATTATAATACTGCTAAGTAGCGCCGTAGGCTTATAATTTAGGCCTAATATCAGTGCTTTTAGCACTTTTCGTAGTAAAGAAGAAGCCTAATTTCTGAAAATTTAGAAGGGCTATTAATCTTCGAGAGGCGGTATAAATCTTATCCTTAATAAAGGTACCGCCGGAGGCGTAGAGCCGGTACCCGCTGATAATATTTAGCGGAAAGTCGGGAATATAGAGGGTATCCGTTAAGGAAATAGGGCTGAAAATAGGCCTATTTTCTTTAAATCTTAAGAGGAATTCGATTTTGACGGTCCTTAAGCCCTCGGGGTAAATAGGGCCTTTACCGGTTCGTACGACTCCTAAGGTCTCGGGCTTCGAAAGGCTTGTAAATAGCCTTTTATCGTTGCAAATATAAACGGTAGACCCTATATCGAAGAGCTACTAGCCGTTTTTTAGGCCGTTAGAGTAGGAAAAATCACCGATAATATCGGTAGATTCTTCGACTTCTTCTTCCTTAGTAGAACCGAAGATAATACCGGTTTCGAGATTATAGCCTATCGAAAAGGCTTCGTCGGCACTTAGATCCTCCTCTTTAACGCTCTTTTTAGCGTTTTCCTTCCTAAAGTTAGGCTTAGAATTAGGCCTCGAATTTGGCCTCGATTTTGGCCCCGGATTAGGCCTTGAATTAGGCTTAAAATTAGGCCTTTCTTACCTCTTATTCGGACTTTGGAAGTCCTTTCGAACGCTTTTAGCGTTGGGATCCTTTTCGAAAGACTTAGGCTTCTTATAAGAAGCCTGTAAGGCTGAGAGCCTTTGGGTAGTCGAAGAGCTCGAAATTCGGGTTTCGGCGAGTAAATCCTCCTAAAAATATAAGAGGTTTAAGCGGGTGACTTTTCCTTCGGTGTTGTAAAGCCACCGTTCTTAGCGTAATAGGCCTTTACAGCGCTCTACCTACTAGGGAAAGTAGCCTTCGAGAACCCGGAAATAGTGGTTAATTTGATCGATTTCAGCGATTTCAACGCTTAAGCCGCGAAGCCGGCTAACGAGGGTATTAAATTTGGCGTTAAAATCGACGATACTAATACTTCCGTTATATCGAAGGCTATAGAATTCTTCGTAAAGTTCCTCGCGAAGGGTTTACTAAGCGGGCGCGTATTAGAGCTTAAGCCTTTTATAAGCTATCGCCGGGTCGGTTTCGTAGGCTATAGTAGCCTTCGGGCCGCTTTTTAGCGTATTTCGAAGCGTAAGAAGTAGGGCTGCCTTTTGAGGATCCGATAGTTGGGTATTAATAACGTCGGGGTCCTCGAGAAATTTAGGGATTCGTAAGGCTCGAAATTGGATCGATAGGGCCTAATACTACTATTGGTAGTTTTCAAGACCCGAGAGGCGTTTAGATTCCGTAAGGTTTAGCGATTGTTTAGCGAGTTCCTTTATCGTTAGGTCGCTAATATCGCTAGGAAGGGTAGGAGGAATAGGGCGTTTAGAGGCTAAATTAGCTTCTTACGGCGCCTACGGCGCCGTATAACGCTCGTTTAATAAGTTAATAACTTACTGAAGTTGGGCCGTTAGGCTATTTACCTAGCCCTAAAGGTCCTGTAGGGTAGGACCTTAAGGCTTATGATTAGCCTCGAAATTAGCTATTTTTAGCCGATTTTCTAGCCTAAAAGTACTACTTAAAGGCTTTTCCTACGGTAGAAGTAAGGCTTAAAATAATATTCGTAAGCCTAATAAGCCTATTAGATAAAGGCTTACGGGGGGAATCGAGTACTACCCGATTCGGAAAGACTTCCGTAGAATTCCGAAGGTTTCGGGGTATATCGGCCGGATCCGGAATATTAAAATTCCGGGCTTATAACCTATTATACCGTATACCTTAATAAGCCTAAATATAGCACTTATATAAGGCTATAACAACTATAATCGCTGTAGCGTAGCGAGTAGAAGCGTAAGGAATCTCGGCCGAAAGTAGTAAGGTCGGTAAGTCTTAGGTACGATAGTAGAGCTTACTAAGGTGCTAAAGGAAGCGAAGATATAGAAGAATAAGGCTTGTATTCTTACTTATTAGACTACTTACTTGCTTAAAGAAAGTCTATTTATAAAAGGGTAGAGGGCCTATATTTATAAGCGTTGTACCCTAAGTTGATTTGTAATCTTTTAGATTCTAAAGGGTTCGGCGTGACGTAAGTATACTATAATATAAAGGGAGTGCCTTAGAATATAAGGCTATTACCTTATATTTATAGGGCGATTAATAGACCGGTAAGGCCTACGTTAGTGGTAGTGCTCTTAGTATCGGGAACTATAAGGTAAGTTCGGGAATCTTAAGAAGATTCCTATAATAGTTCCTAGCCCAAACTATAAGGTAAGTTCTACACCCCGATTAGGCCCTAATTAGGTTATAAGGTAAGTTCCCTTAGTATAAGGTAACTCCTTAAGTATAGGGTGAGTTCCCTTAGTATAGGGTAACTCCCTAAGTGTTGCCGCTACTTATAGCTATTATTTTAACATCTTACTTATAGCGAAAGCCTACCTACCGTATTCCAACTATTCCTCTAATAGTCTTATCCCTTTATAGCTTACTCGGCCTTATAACTTACCTAGTAGTATCGTATTATCCTAATTAGAGCACTAGTACTATATATTTCGCTACTTACTAAGCTTCTAACGGTACTAAAATAAAGTACGTTACTAAGTATCCTCGATCCGTTCGTATAACGTAAGAAGATAGATATTACAGCTAAGAAGATATCTCTTAATTAGCTAGTAAGCTACCTTAGCCCGTAAACTAGTACGTAACCCGTAGTTCCGGTATATCTTAATAGCTTATATATAGATCTCTTCCTCTAAGGGACGGTAAATCTACCGGATATACTCGATAATAAGCTATTACACGGCAAAGTTTATCATAATCGTATCCCAAATAGCTATACCCTTATCTCTTATATCCGCGTAGAAGAAGTCCCTTAAAGCCTTAACAATCTTATTAGTAGAATCAACGTATTTGCCGGCGGGTATTACTTCGTTAGTTATATTAAGTTATTAGGCTACGATATTAAGCCTAAGATCGCGGCGCCTATTATAATCGAGATGTTGTTACCGTTCTATATCTCGTAGTAGGGCGGCTAAGATCGTATTACTTCCCTTATCTCGTAATAATACCCTTATCTCTACGAACGATATACCTATCGGTAAAGGAATAATCGAAGAAGATAGCGGATCTTTGCTTATAAACGCGACTCTAAGATTAGTAATCTTACTACCTTTGACTAATTTAGAGTCCCTAATAATAATACCGTCGAATATACTAATCTACTTCTTCTTAACGTTATATATTATATTCTTTAATACGTATTATAAGTAGACCTAATACTTTATATTATCTCTAAGTATTGCCCTTACCGTGTTTTTAAGGGCGTAATCGATATTTATCATTATTATAAAGGGCTTCTTGATACTATACTCCCTTATAAGACCGACTAGAGTCTCGAAAAGCTATATAAAATCTGCCTCGGTTTCGCCGTTTAGTACGTACTAAACGATATTAAAAGATATACTAAGATTCGTAATACCGACGATATTATAAAGAGGCTAATTATACCGGTTAACGTAGTAGGTATAGTTAATCGTCTAGATATCCGGGTACCGCTTCTATATATCCAAAGCCGCTAAGTTAGTCTATAAGACTACTATAGTAGGGCTACTAAGATCTACGCGCCGAATATATAAGCTAACGTTACTCGGATCATCGGATAACTTCTTAAGCTAATATTAAAACGCGGTACGGTTCCCTATCTTCTACCTTCTATACTTAGCGATCAGATTCCATACGTCGTAGTAGGTAAATATAGTACCGTATATCTAATTGACTTATATAGAGATATCTCTCGATATAACTTTAGGTAGTAACGATAACTCGAGTATATTAGCCCGAATCGCGGGAGTAAGCTTACGGCGGCGGTTTGATATAATATAAGCCGCGGCGTTATCTAGCAAATAGTTATAACAAAGATCTTACGACATAAAGGACCACTTATCGGCCTAGGCTTTACGTTAAACGATATAACTATACTAACCGTAGTTGCTTACCCGCGGATAACGCGTTCTTAGATACGTAGATAGTCCTATAAACTATCTCCTTCTTATACCCTCGCTAAGCCGTTAACTATAAGAACATATAAGATCGTAACGGCGTTAGCGAGGTGGATTAGCCGGGTTTAGGTCAAGGACCTTCCTTAACGACTTAAGCTTCGAAATAGCGAATCCGTAGTACTCGGCGACATCTTATAAAGCCGCGAGGGCTTCTTTTATAGTATCCCAACGATTCGAAGCCAAGTTATCGAACTTAGGGTACGAGACGCGCCTAAGCTATAGCAAGTCATCGTCGCCTTAGTTATCCTCCTCGTTAGAATCGTTATCGTCAATCCCTACTTCGATCTACGTATCGAGGCGCTTCTTCTTAGCGGTAAGACTATCGCAAAGGGCGTTAATATCGTCTTAAGATAGCGGCAAGTCGGTAGTAATATCGCGTTTAATAGAAACGTCGTTAGAGGTAAGCGAACGTACTATTTTTATAAGTAGTATAGTAGTAATTAAATATAGTCGATTAAATATAAAGATAGTAGAGCGCGTACGATAAGGGATTTGTTTATATATATATTAACCCTAACCCTAGCTTTACAACGTACTATATATATTAGATCTCTTACAGAAATATTATTAATAGCCCGAGTAATCTAGTAGTTTAAGACGTTGGCGTGTTAACTAGCGGACTAGTCACCTACGAGGGAGGGTGGGCGATTAGGCAGTTGGGCAAACCTTCAACCCGGGTTCAAATCCCGGCTTAGGCATTATTTTTTTACACGCGCGAAAAAAAGGAGGGTAAGTCTATCTTTTAGATTACTAAGCCTAACAGCGATTAACAGCGCTATACACGTACAGTCTACGTATATTAGGTAAAATAGCGATTACTAAGAAAATTGTATACGTTATACACATAGCCCTAACGGGCCTTAACAGTTGACAGGCAAAAATCGAGGTACATGTCGTGGTGGGTCGGCCAAGAATTGGTGCCCGCGCGCGTTACTGTTTTAGGCTTAAAGTGGTGGGGGGGTAGTGGCCTTAGGAAAGTAGGGTAGTCGCGTTATATCGTGTCGTCTTCGCGAACCGTCGTTGTTGGGTTGAGCAAGGCGGTAACGGTATTGTGTGCATATGCCTTGCATTAAGGAAATGTTGGACACACTTTGTCTTGGCGCTCGGTTGTTCAGTGTTTACCTGCCTGCGACAATCATCAAACTAGGGCAAGGATTACATGCTGGCAGATACCTGATGTCACTCCCTGCAGAGGAGACCATGAGTACTTGCGTAGATCAAGTAAGTGATACAACTACCCGTAGATTTCAGAGCATTACCCCTGAATACTTGCAAAACTTTGTAGATGCTAAATTCCGAGGAATCATTGCTCCAATTGATCATAACCTGTTCTGTATACTGTCGTTCTAAACTCGCAATATTGTGGTAGAAGTTTCATTTAAACCTTGATACCCTGCATTAAGGTAAACCGGTGCCTGCGCGGACATCCGGCTTTGCACGTGGGAGCCCGGCTAAGCGAGCGGGGCACATTTTTGCTCGCCTCGTACGCTCACCAACCTCCCCGACATTTGGGGATCACACCAATCAAACACCATGGGACTGAATAGCCGTCCAGGACGTCCAGAAGAAGGATACCTACTTACTACTGTCTTGTAGACTGGAGAGTGTTTCTGGACTTCGCAATCCCGTAATCTGATTTTTGAGCGGAATCTGGTGGTACTGGGGTTGACGACTTTCGAGACTTTTCATTGGAATGTCATGGTTGACGTCTTTTGCTGCTTAGCCAGGTGATTGGAACGCAATAGTGTCGCAGGCAAAGCCACTAGACTACTTGCCTATCAACGTACTTCCGAGCACCTTAGTACCTAGAGGTAGCATGTTGAAAAATGCCACCACAGCCCGGGCTCAACAGCTGCAACCTGGTGGACTTAGACTACGGTCCACTTGACAGTATCAACTTCCACCGAGAGTTTCGCAGCTTCTTTGCCATCGCGACAAGCAGTGACCAAGTCTGGGGCCGGCTACTTGAGCTGGTCATGTGACAATGGTATTGCGCCTGTCAAAGTCGAGGTGCTGCAATGTTAGCTGCGCAACCACTACCTTACTTGCGATGATGCTAGGCTGCCCTCCGGATGTGTCGCCAGTGATGTGCGCTGTCCATAATAGGTGATATGTACACCTTACACATACTGCAGATGGACGGACACGTAACGCAGTGTCTGGGATCGCGTGTTTACAGAGGTCCATCCTCCTCCGGCTGGATTGTTTGAGATGTCAATCTACGAAAGAATCTAGACAGCCTACAGTCGACTTGTCCTAGATACGGTGAAGAGGCCTTTTGTCGATGTCCGGAGTCGACATTCGCGGAAATGTGGTCAAATTTCCCTTGCCAAAAGTGGGAACAGACATGGATAAGAGCTGTAGGGGCAGAGTCAGTAACGGCTACCGGGGTGCTGGCATCTTCTTTCAATAGTTGCCGGGACACCTCCGAGCTTCAGCCAGGGTGACAAATACACGCTTGGCCAACGAACCAGTCCCGGGTCAACATTTTGGTGAGAATCATCGCCGGCGATGGTTGCAGATACCCATGTAGTGATGACAAGCACGGGGTGATGAGCACGGGGTGATGAGCCCTCAGATGGCTCAGATGCGGCACACGGATTGCGGGGATCGTCCTAGATAGTGTTTCTCATGTTTTCTGCCCGTACGCTAGCTCCCTTGTTCGGGGTAGGGCTATGGCACCCGCACGTCATGGCTGGTACTCGGGCTCAACTCGGTCCCGTGCCCTAATACTAGCAGTGTAGAGGTACGTAGCAGACATGATTACCAGGTGTCATGTATCATCTATGCGTACTTGCCCAGACGACCAAAGCGTTGGCGGTGAACCTTTATCAAGTAAGTACCAATGTATTTACTGTTGGCAGCATCAGCATTCGCTGAAGCGACACCTCGCGGAAGAGACCGGAACTATGCACCAGCAGTCCTCAAAACAGTGCTGAACGAGCAATTTTTCTGGCGACGAGCAGTCCTAACCGGTAACGCCAGAGTGTGTTCTGGTTTGTGTAGCGAGTCTGTAAAGTTACAAAAGCATTTTGAAATGTTTCAGGGGGCCGAACGGCAAGATCGTCATTTGTGGCGGGAGTCTCCTCGTGCATCATTCAGAGCATGAAACAACCGCCCTCCATCTGTGCCATCAATTGATCCCACGACTCTTATCCGGGCACACATGACCTCTTCTATCAATTAGCGATGCGCTGTCCTGCATGTGCCCAATAGTCAAGTGTACTGCCAGGGATGCTGATAAAATGTGAAAAGATGAATATTCAGGGATGGTTACTGGGATGGGTAATGCCTGAAGACGAAGCTTAGCTGTACTTTCAGAAAGAAGGAAACGCCAGCCGCCAGGTCAATACTCATGCCTACACGTACCTACACCTGGTCGAAAGAAGTTGACTGACTAGCAACACGTAGCAAGCCAGTTTCAAGTCTATCTAGCCAGGTGTGTAACTGTTTGGTTTCCCAGCATTTGGAAGCCTCCTGGAAGCCTCCTGCCCCAGATTAGAACCCACGTTATTCTGGCAAATTATCGTACATGCACATGAGATCCACCCTCGCGAATCTGGCTCTCAAGGAAATGGCAGCTCCAGGGTATCTTATGCCTTTTATACAATATTCAAACCACTCGGGCGAAGTGTACGAGGCTTGTGGATGACTTTTTGCAGCCTAAGGACTGATTGATGTTGGGGTCGGCAAGTCACTCACAGGGTTTGGCTTTGCAGTCAGGTGGCGGTTCAAAGATCCCGCCGTTACCTTGGACGCGCTAATGCAGGTTTGGACCCACTCCAAGTGAAGAGATGCCCATGAAAATGGAAAGAAAGCAATTCCTTTTGCCTGGGGGGGGGGGGGGGAAAATTTGGAAATGGTGGGAAAAAAGGGGGGGGGGGGGTAGGGAGTTGGGCCAAGAAAGGAAGGATTCACAGTTTGGGGGCCCAAAACCTTGGGAGGAGCAAGGGGGGGTTTTGAAACCGCCTCTAGCTTTGTTTCTTGCTCTCGACTGATTTATCATAGCATACACAATCACTTGTGGCACTCTTCTTGGAAAAGCCACACGC